CACACACACGCACCACAGCACAAACACACCCAAGCACACGCACACGCACGTTCGTCACCTTTACCAGCCATGGCATCCCAACAAACGGGTCGGAGTTCGACACACCAGGGTCGACCAGAGAGCACAGCGCTACTGAACCAATTGTGAACGCGGTGGAACAGTGACCTGCCTGAAACTGTCTGCACAAGTCAGAGGGAATACCTCATCTAGCACTCGTCTCCTTCTGCTGCTCCTCTCCTCCCTCCCCTCCCCTCTCCTTCCTGTGTCCCTCCTTCCTCGAGACTCAACTGCTCCGACAGGTTTGGTGCAGAGTTTAAAGGACGTTCAGTGGATGGAAACTAGTCTACGTACCATTTAAAGTAATATTTTGACGGGTGAGTTTCAGTTACTGTACTAGTACGAGTCACCCCCCCAGTTACCGGGCTTAATTCCTGTCTTGGAGTTATCGGGATGGTGTTTAGATTGTACCTCGATGTCTGAACCTGGGTAATCTCAGAGGGATCTTCATTAAGAAGTACAATGTGCAAAATGTCTCAACCCAACCAATTGCTTCCAACCAGTCACCAGCTCTCGGTGTTGGATGAAATAGACTCCTTAATCCCGACGGTAGATGCTAAAACAGCAGGTGTTCAGTCGGAGGCAGACCGGGCTATGGAACAACAAACACAGAGAGGTGCGATGACAACCAGACAGGAGGCGAGACCGCGCACACCATGGCCTGTGTCTGTGTCATTAGGAGCCAATATAAGGCATGGTTGCTGATTTGTCATTAACTGTTCATGAACTGCTCATATGGTACCTTCAAATTCAGGTTATGTTAAAGCGCATCCTTGTCATTCTGAGTGTGAATATGGTTCCTTGGATGATAATGAAATCCTGACTGTGGCGTTTTGAGTTTGCTGTTCTGGCAGGAAAAGAAGATTTTTTCAACGTGGGCTTGTTGCTCGGGTGTTTGTCGTCAGGAACTATGTTCTTCTTGATCTTTGCTTTTGTCAACAACGTCCCAGTCAGCCGTTATATATGTGTTTTATGTGGGTTGGTGTGTTTAGTACGTCTGGTGGTATTCAGGCCAGCGCTTCAGGCGACGTGTGTGGACGAGTAATCTGCTGTTTGGTATGTCCACGTTGCCCGTTGGTGGATCCACACACATGGAGGGATGGATGAGAGGGTTTGTGTAAATGAGGTGGCAGGGTGACGAATGGGACGGCTGTAATAAAGACTGGGGATCGCGCTCGTTGGTTAGCCTGGATGAGAGCATTAAAGAGGATGAGTGGAGGTGGTGTGACCGACGGGTGCGCTCGCGCGCGCTGGAGCCTGGTGAGAGACAGCGTAGGGACAGAGACGACCATGGGTGTGTAAATGGGGTCTTCGTGTTTAGGATGATGTTCTGTTTCCACTGGTATTCATGGTTGGAGGTGCTGCCTGTGTGTGGTGTGTGGTCTCGTGTGTGTGCGTGTGTGTGTGTGTGTGTTAGCATACAGCAGATGGGAATCTCTTAAAGGGACATTACAACCTAAAACAATATTCTCTGTTATTCCTCCTTTTATTCTGTTTCAGACAGATCAGTTTTCTCCCTTGTACGTTGATTTAATCTTTGAGAGACAACCCTCAATCTCATAAAAATACATTTATATTCTACATATGTATCCTGTTAATTGTTAGTTGGCACAGTCTCGAGGCTACGTCACAAAATCAATCACAGAAA